CTCACAAATGTTCACAGCAGCATTTTTCATAATAGTTCCAAACTGGGAACAATCCAAATATCCATGGTAAATGAATAAACAAAAAGTATATTCACAATGGAAGATTATTAAGAAAAATGAGCCTGTGATACATGCTACAACATGGATAAACTTCAGAAACATAATGCTAAGTGAAAGAAGCCAGACACAGAGACCACATATGGTATGATTCCATTTATATGAAATATACAGAAATGTCAAACCAATAGATACAAAAAGATTAGTGGTTGCCTGGGACTGAGGGTGGGAATGGGAATTCACTGCAAATGAGATACAGAATCTTATGGGGATGGAAATGTTTTTAAAAAGGGTTATGGTGATGGCTGCACAACTCTGTAAATTTACTAAAGATCACTGAATTATATGCTTCAAGTGGATGAATTTTATGATACATTAATAATACCTCAATAAAGTTCTTTTAAAAGAAAAAAAAGATTTTATTTATTCATTTGAGACAGAGAGAGAGAGAGCATGAGCAGGGGGAGAGGGAGAAACAGACTCCCCGCCAAGCAAGGAGCCCTATGCGGGACTCGATCCCAGGACCCTGAGATCTTGACCTGAGCCGAAGGCAGACGCTTAACCATCTGAGCCATCCAGGTGCCCCCAAAGTTCTTTTTTAAAAAATATGTTGGGGGGCGCCTGGGTGGCTCAGTCGGTTAAGCCAATGCCTTCGGCTCAGGTTATGATCCTGGAGTCCCGGGATCGAGTCCCGCGTCAGACTCCCTGTTCGGCAGGGAGTCTGCTTCTCCCTCTGACCCTCCCCCCTCTCATGCTCTCTCTCTCTCATTCTCTCTCTCTCTCAAATAAATAAATAAAATAAAATTAAAAAAAATATGTTGGGTGGGGGCGCCTGGGTGGCTCAGTTGGTTAAGCGACTGCCTTCGGCTCAGGTCATGATCCCAGGGTCCTGGGATCAAGCCCCGCATCGGGCTCCCTGTTCAGCGGGGAGCCTGCTTCTCCCTCTCCCACTCCCCCCGCTTGTGTTCCCTCTCTGTCTCTCTCTCTCTGTCAATTAAATAAATAAAATCTTAAAAAAAAATATGTTGGGTGGGGACGCCTGGGTGGCTCAGTCGTTAAGCATCTGCCTTCCGCTCAGGTCGTGGTCCCGGGGTCCTGTGATCGAGTCCCGCATCGGGCTTCAGGGAGCCTACTTCTCCCTCTCCCTCTACTGCTCCCCCTGCTTGTGCTCTCTCTCTCTCTTCTGACAAATAAATAAATAAAAATCTTTAAAAAAAAATATGTTGGGTGCCTGGGTGGCTCAGTCAGTTAAACGTCTGCCTTTGGCTCATGTCAGGATCCCAAGGTCCTAGGATTGAGTCCTGCATCAGGCTCCCTGCTTCTCCCTCTGCCTGCCACTCTCCCTGCTTGTGCTCGCTCTAACAAATAAATAAAATCTTAAAAAAATAAATATGCATACTTAAAAAAAAAAAAACATTCTCTCCCCTCACCGTCACCCCTGCCCCAGCTGGCACACATGCGCTCACTCTTAAAAAAAAAAAAATACACTGCGCACCTGGCTGGCCTAATCGGTAGAGCATATGACTCTTGATCTCAGGGTTGTTGAGTTGGAGCCCCATGTTGGGTATAGAGATTACTTAAAATCTTTAAAAATAAATAAAAATTTGTTGTAAGATTCCTTTAACTAAAAAAAAAAATAGTGGGGCATCTGGCTGGCTCAGTCGGAAGAGCGTGTGACTCTTGATCTTGAGGTCATGAATTCAAGCCCCACCCTGGGTGTAGCAATGACAAAAAATAAACAAAAAAAAATAGTCACTTTACAGTGGAGAAACTTGACAAACCACCTTCACCTAATGATCACAGTTAACATCACCAGAAATGGGACAAATCAATATTATGTGCCTCCTGATATGATGTATTGAGAACACACTATCATTTCCAGAGTATTCCTACCCAAAAGAATCCTATCAAATTGAAACAAAACAAAACATCAAACTCAAATTGAGGATTATTCCACAAAACAAACGTCAATGTCCTAAAAATCAAAGAAAGACTGAGGAACTCTTTCCAATTAAAGGAAGGGACATGACTGAACATGATTCACGGTCCAAATTTTAAAAATCATTTGTGTTTTGTTTTTTCAGTACAAGACATTGAGACGCTCCGGATAAGGTGTATATTAAATCACAGCACTGTATCAATGTTACTACCTGATTTTGATTACTGTGCTTAAGAGAATGTCCTCATTCTTCCATTGTGTCCGTGATTTACTCTCAAACAGTTCAGGGAGAGAAAACGAACACACACACACATAGATGGAAAATACAAATGTGGTCAAATGTTGACATTTGCTGAGAGGATATATGGGAATTCTTTGTCCTGTTCTTGCAAATTTCCTATAAATCTGAAATTATGTTAAAATAAGTTAAAAGCGGTGCATGTATTAAGTACATAATTAGAATATATTTCCATTTGAGTAAATATTAGAAACACATGGGGCGCCCGGGTGGCTCAGTCGTTAAGCATCTGCCTTCGACTCAGGTCATGATCCCGGGGTCCTGGGATGGAGCCCCACGTGGGGCTCCCTGCTCCGTGGGAGGCCTGCCTCTCCCTCCCAGACTCCCCCGGCTTGTGTTCACTCTCTCGCTGTGTCTCTGTCAAATAAATAAAATCTTTAAAAAAAAAAAATTAGAAACACAAAGAAATAGATATGACAAAATGATAAGAATATAAGGTTTCCATGGCAGAGCCAGATCATTTACCCTCTTCGGCACTCAGCTTTTGTTTGCAGGCACATTGTTTAAACAGAGGACTCAGTTGCCAAGGAACAGTCTCTCTCCCCAGCTCATTAGTCTGACAGCAAACAAATCTACCAACACCAATGCACCTGTCTCTGGGCCAGGGCTCAAGCCCAACTGATGCTTTGGGCAATTTCCTACATGGCTTCTCTCATCTCAAGGCCTCCCCATATTTTGCCAAAATCATTTCCACACTAAATTTGTTCTTACTCCCCTTCCCCTATTTGCCTTCCAAAGACATTCCAGGATTTGAATGGGTCTTAGTCACAAGGAGCAAGGCTATGCACTAAATCTTTTTAGGATCATGGGAACTTTATATAAAGTTGTGAGGGATGGGCTGTTTCCCCAAAGTTTCTGAACTGCTTTTGCAAGTGTGGCCTGAGACAGGTAGCATCACCATTATCTGGGAGTTTGTTAGAAATGCAAATGCCTGGGACCCAACCTGGACCTCCTGAGACAGAATCCATTGGGAGTAGGGTCCTGCAATCTGTTTTAACAAGCTCTTGGACTGATTCTGATGCTTGCTGAAGCGTGAGGAGTGTGAGGCTACATCCTGTCACTAGACAACTATGCAGGAAAATAGCGCTGATACGGGCTGCATTCAAAGACCCCCTAAAAGCTGACTATTTTAAAGTATTTCTTGCAAAAGGTACCGCTTCTCTTTTTGTATGAATAAGGGACACACATGAGAACTGAAAGGGCTGTTTGCACAGCTGAATACCTGTGGACGGACTAGGGAGAAGTTGAGTTCTGAGTTTAGCCCTGTAGCAGCCCACATGGCCTATCTAGTTCAAAACTGCCTTTGGAAGTCTGCCCCAAGCCCTGGCACACCAGGCTGCTTCAAGGATTTCCTAAAGCAAACTTTCTGTAAAGGCCTATATATATATATATATTTAAGGACTTTATTTATTTGAGAGACAGAGATAGTGACAGAGATAGTTGGTTTTTTTTTTTTAAGATTTATTTTGACAGAGAGAGGGACAGCAGAGAGGGAACACAAGCAGGGGGAGTGGCAGGCAGAGGGAGAAGCAAGCTTTCCGCTGAGCAGGGAGCCCAAAGGGGCTCGATCCCAGGACCCCCGGATCATGACCTGAGCCGAAGGCAGACGCCACCCAGGCACCCCAGGGTTGGTCTTTTATAGAAAGCTAACCAGGGAACTTAAATCCTTTTAACATCTTTATTGATAACGCCTTCAATGGCTTACTTCATTTTAGGGTCTGGTTATTCTTTATTGGTCACAGGTGATTATCATAAAGACACCCACCCCACACGCCTAGGGCAGGGCTCTATTTTTCTGTAAATATAAGCCATATAGTTTCTGTCACAATATTCAGATCTGCCACTATGGCTCAAAAGCAGCCACAGAAAATACATAAACCAGTGGGTATGGCTGTGTTCCAGTAAAACTTTTATCAGATGGAGGCAGCAGGCTGCATTTGTCCCAAAGGCTCAAAGTTTGCTGACCCTTGTCCTAGGGAGTCAGAGGCCTGGGGTTCTAATCTGACCTGCCCCCGAGAAGACACCCAACCGACAATCTGAGGTACCTCCCTCGGTTTCTAGGCCAGAAACCTCCATATCGAGTCCTGGCCCCTGCCTGGCTTCCAAGGGGTAGGGCCATGTATAGTGAGGCATGCTTCCTGCATTCTCTCCACTCAGTGAAGCCTGACCCGGGAATGGGGGCTACAGGCAGAAAGCAGCATGGGCTGAAGGCCTTGGCTGAATCCACCAGGCACGGGAACTGGGTTCAGTGCAGGAGCAGAATACTTGTCACATTTACCTTTTTCTTCAGAGGTATTAGCCAGGGCTCACTGTAAAGGCTTTGAAAGTTAAACAGCTTATGTGTTAAGATTTTACAAATAGTTAAAACTTTTCAAGTTTCATCCAAAAAAGCATATATTCCAATATATTCTGATTCAAAAGCGATTTCATCCTTACACAATAAATATTTTAAAACAGACACATACAGTTAGTACAAGGGACTTAAGACATTTTATACTGAATCTAACATGTTGTGGTCTTGCCTAACAAAAATGGAGGTGTACTCCCGCCAACAAAAGACTCTTACAATTCTAATGTCCTTGTGCTATTTTGTTGCATGTGATGCTATCCTTGCCATAGTTCGATTATTTATTAGCACTTATAATCCACATCTTTGATTTTACCAAAACAACAGAGAATTAAAACTCAAACACACACAAACTGTGCGCCTTTGAAGTCTGGTAATATGATGGATTTCACATTCAAAACATTTTATGAAGGAAAAAATAAAAATGAAGTGTTATTTCAATCGATGCATCCATAGTTCTTGGCCTCTCACTGGCAAGCTGCAAGATGTCCTTGAATAAGATCCTGAACACGGGAGAGAATAATCTCATTAGAACTGCTGCAATTTTCTGGACCATAGGGTGGGTCTATGGTCAGAACCCCAGCCACACACAGAGTCCTTCGTGAATCTCCCTGTTCTGTGATGGGGATGTGGTTCTTCTCGAGCCATTTCTTCAGGCTGTTCTTTCTCTTCTCCAGATCCTCGGGGTTGTAGGCCTTGCAGTCTCCAGACATGAACAAATTCATCAGCTTCTCTCTCACTCTATGGTCCCCTTCGTTCACAGTTTCAACGGTCTGCACAGCATGGCCCATAATTCCAGTCACAGACATGCTGCCATCTTCCAGGAAGTTCACAAGGACAATACTTGGGAGGAAAAGTTAAGTTCAGAGCAGATTTGCAAAAGAAAAATGTAAAGGCCCATAAAGCTACGGAAGAAGCAATGGAATGAAGAGGCATCACCAGCCCCAAAAGGCAATTAGAAATTGGGAATAAGAACTTCCCTGTTTAAAATTAATCCCCTCACCACCAAATGTTTGTACTCATTCAATAAGTATTCACTGAGGGTCCTACACATCTAAACTTTTTTGTCTAGCCTAAAACCAATCATTGCGGGATGTAGTTAAAGCACTGAAAAGTTATAAATGGCTTAAATGTGTATTAGAAATCAAGAAAGGGTACAGACTTAATTTTAGAGTTAAGCAACTGAATAACTTGCCTTCAAAGCAGACCAAAGAAAATAACAAAGCACAAAATTAATGAAAGAGAAAACAAGAGTTAATAACAAGATCATCAAAGCCAAATGTTGGTTTTTTAAAAAACAAAACAAAAAATGTAAAATTCACAAAACTCAGGCAAAACTGATTAGAACAGAGAAAAAAGACACATACAAATAATATTAGGAAGAAGGCAGCAAAGATTGGCAATTTAAAGTATTAGGAACAAATTTATGCCAAGAGTTTTGAAAACTAAAATAGAAAGCTTCCTAGAAAATATAAATTTCTACTACTGAGTCAAAAACAAGAGACTATAAATAGTCCTATAATCCTTCATAAAAACTGAGTATTTTAAAATATTTTCCCATGGCGGGGGGGAAGGCCCAATTTTACTAACAAATTATATACAATTTTCAAGGTTCAAGCATTTTTTTTTAAGATTTATTTATTTGTGAGAGAGAGAGAGAGAGAAAGAGAGAGTATGAGAGGGGAGAAGGCCAGAGGGAGAAGCAGGCTCCCCATTGAGCTGGGAGCCCGATGTGGGACTCGATCCCAGGATTCCGGGATCATGACCTGAGCCAAAGGCAGTCGCTTAACCAACTGAGCCACCCAGGCATCCCAAGCATTTTTTTTTTTTAAGATTTTATTTTTTTTTAAAGACTTTATTTATTCATTTTGAGACACAGAGATACAGAGAGAGAGAGAGAGCATGAGCAGTGGGAGAGGCAGAGGGAGAGGGAGAAGTAGACTCCCCGCTGAGTCAGGAGCCCGATGTGGGGCTCGATCCCAGGACCCTGGGATCAGGACCTGAGCTGAAGGCAGACGCTTAACGACTGAGCCACCCAGGCGCCCCAAGATTTTATTTTTAAGTAATCTCCACACCCAATGTGGGGCTCAAACCCACAATCCCAAGATCAAGAGTTGCACGCTCCACCAACTAAGCCAGCCAGGCACCCCAAGGTTCAAACATTTCTAATCTAACCAAATTCTTCTAGAGACTATAAAAGGGGGACTATGCCTTAACTTGTTTAATGAGGTTAATATAATCTTGATACCAAAAGCAGAGGATAAGATGATTAAAATATAAAACTACAAACTAATCTCATTCATGAATACAAATGCAAAAATCCTAACTAAATAAAATAAATGATGTGGTGTGATGTGATGTGATGTGAATTTCACTTTGTTGATACTCCTCCCAAAACCTAAAATCCCAGGCTAACTATGAGAAAGCACCACAGAAACCCAAATTGAGAGACATTCTATGAAATACCTCACTCACCAGAACTCTTCAAAAGTGTCAAGGTCGTGAAAAACAAGGAAGGACTGAAAAATTCTCACAGATCAGAGGAGACTAAGGACACATGACAATTAAATGAATGTCAGATCCTAGATTGGATCCTGGAATAGAAAAAGGCAAACAATTAGTGGAAACACTGTTAAAATCCAAATGATTGCAGTTTATGTAAAGTTTTAGTTTCGAGGAATGTACCATGGTTAGGTAAGATGCCAACATTATGGGAAGCTGGGTAGATGGGTCCTCTCTGTATTCTTTTCTGTAAATCTAAAATCATTCCAAAATAAAAAGTGTGTGTGTGTATAATCACCTTTAAAGTAGTCTTGCAAGGGGCACCTGGGTGGCTCAGTTGTTAAGTGTCTACCTTCGGCTCAGGTCATGATCCCAGGGTCCTGGGATCAAGCCCTGCATGGGGCTCCCTGCTCGGCAGGGAGCCTGCTTCTCTCTCCCCCACTCCCCCTGCTTGTGGTCCCTCTCTCGCTCTCTGTCAAATGAATAAATAAATCTTAAAGATAAATAAAGTAGTCTTGCAAAAAACAAATCTGATCCTAATCAAAACTCTAGATAGGCATACCAGTTTATAGGAAATACGGATATAAGAACACGTTAAGGTACACCATGCACAATGCAATAAGCTAAATCCAGAACGTGTTCAGTTCTCTAAGACAAATGATTCCATTTCTTCAACAAATAAATGACATGGAAAACTAAAAAGAGAAAGTGCAGTCATTAAGATACTTAAGAGACATACCAACCGAATTGATAAACCAATTAAAGAGATATTCTGAGACAACCAGGCAAATCTAAAAACGGACTGTTAATAATAAAGTTATTACTTTTGTTAGGTATTACAATGTTATTGTGGTTATTAAAGAGTCCTTATCTGCTAAGATATTGAGGTATTTATGGACAAAATTATATATCTGCAACTGGCTTAAAGATATTTAGAAGGGGAAGGAAAGGCTAGTGTCTGTTATGCTATTCTCTCTACATTTATGAGATTGAGATTGTCTAATAAAAACGTAGTAACAAGGAGCGCCTGGGTGGCTCAGTCAGTTGGACGTCTGCCTTAGGCTCAGGTCATGATCCCGGAGTTCTGGGGTGGAGCCCCGCGACCGGGCTCCCTGCTCAGCGGGGAGTCGGGTCCTCCCTCTCCCTCTGCTCCTCCCCCTCCCTCGTGCTTGCTCTGTGTCTCCCTCAAATAAATAAAAAAGAAAATGTAGTAACAAAAAAAGTGCCTCACTTCTCCAAACTTGGCTTGTCTGCCAAGGTAATCCATAGTTAGAACAACACTTCGACTCAAAAGCAACACAACTCTTATGTGTGAATAACTAGCCTTTCATTTATCTACTTCCTTGATTTGGATATAACATATAAGCAGCACAAAGGGGTGTCATTATTATTTCTGGGAAGAAGGAGCCATACTCACTTGGCAGAAACTGGGTCTGTGGTTAAAACCCATCCTTTATACTCCTTCTCGCTGGCTGTCACTCTGACTTCTTTGTACGTGTAATCTCGCCATTCTAAGGGGCCTTTCCTCATCCATTCATTCATGGCTGCCAGCTGGCTAGATCTAAAACCACCACCAGTTCGGGTTAATATATGTTCCACTCAAGCAAGTGCCATCCTAGAGATAGAGAACATCTGTGATTTGCCTCAAGTTCCATTATCAGGAAAATAGCTGATGATCAGCTAAGGAGACACCGCGCTGCCACGAGGCCCCAGCCCGGGGTAACTCATCCGGCTTACTTCTATTCCACCACCCAGTACCATTCCAAATCGCCTTCACCCTGGCTTTGAACTCGGTCAGCAAATGCTCAAACCTTTTAACTCTGATCTCCTGCGATCAAAGTAACTCACTCCACACCACATTTGGCCAAAACTGAAGAGGAAAACTCCTTTGATACCCAACCACTGGCTCTCTCTAGCTCTTTCTCCGCTGGATCCCGCCAGGGAGAGGCCCCGAACTTGACAATTTCCTCTTATTTGTTTGGAGGATGCACGAGCCAGGGGGCAGCAGCGAAGGTTCTAGAGCGCAGATTCCGTGGCCTAGCTTGCAGCTGCACGATACTTAAAACGGTACTCAAACCTGGTGGTACTTAACGTTTAATTCCCACAAACGAGAGAAATACCAGCAAGAACTCCTCGCAGCGACCGGTACACAGTAACCACGCGGTGAGGAAAGAGTCACTCCAACGGCGCCCATCTGAGCCCAGCAGGCTTTGCGCCACGTCGTCACTTCCTTCCCCCAGAATTCTCTGTTTTGTAGTCCTTGGCCTTGGTCACACCTAGAGATCTGAGAGTTACCGAGCGTGGGGGAATAAAGGCCGGGTGCGGGCAGGGCCTGAGATTTTTGTGTAGTAATAATAAGGTTCTTTGTTCGCTAGGACCACCCCTCTTCACTGTCACGATGGACATTTCAACCTTTCGTTTTTAAAGAGGAAAAGTCTCGTGCCAAGTTCCTCGTTGAGAGTAGACCTGGAAATGCACCCTTGCGGTGGAATCAAAGCTCAAGAACCCTCTAGGTAAATCCTAAAGCGGGAAGTGTGAGGTGAAAGTGCCTTGGAGAAAAGCGATAGAGCCAAGATATTTATTTGTTTGGCTAGTGTAAGGCAATTAATACGTCTGCTCCTTTGGGATGTGCCCTTGCTACAGTCCTGCCGGAGGTGCAGAAGCCAGAAAGAAAAAGCACAGGATTGGGATGATTTCCACCTAGCAGACCACTCACTAGTGAGGGGTGCCTCACTCACTAGGAAAGCCCGGGCCTCTCCCCCGCAACCCCTCATCACCCGCGCAGTGGAAAAGGGCAAAAGACTCGCTTCTGCCACAGATTGCGGTTCAGGTATGTAGTCGGCTCCTGGCATGGTCCAAATAAACTGATCCTGAAAAATGGTACAAGGTGTTAAACGTTGAGTTTCTGCAAATGTGAACACCAAGGGAGATTTACAGAAACCGAATTAGAGGACTATCAAACCACGATGTAGAAAACCTTGAAAATTAGTCAGCTTTTCCCTTACAATTTGGGATCTGACTTCACATAATCCTTTACATTGTTTCTTATTGCCATCATTTTAAATAATCCTTTGGCAACCTTCACTCGAGTGGATTGGCTGATTATATTAATGTGGCTTTCGTAGATTAAATTAGATTATGCCAGTTAAGTCCTCTATAAATCTACAAAGAGCTAATATAAATACCAGTTGGGGGCGCCTGACTGGCTCAGTCAGAAAAGCATGCAACTCTTGATCCCCAGGTGGTGAGTCCGAGCCCCACATTGGGTATAGAGATTACTTCAATAAATAAACGTATAAATACATACATACATACCAATTGTTAAAATGTGAAGCTAAACATATGACCTCATAAAAATTCAGTCCAAAAGAGCTTCAAACAATTGTGACAACTGGCCATTTGCATTTTAAGCCTTCTATCTGTACTGCAGAATCAAAGACTTTGGAAGCTAACTCCAGGCTTAACTTAAATGACCCCTTTTAAAGTGATGAGCCTGGGGCAAATTCCTTCCTTTCTCTCCCCTCTCCCTTTAGTCTCCCAGATAATCATTTCCAGCATCTGCTGATGTGAATCACTGATTTATAACAGACTGAGCCCAACCCACTCCATATTGCAGGTTTACAGAAAGACCCTCTCCTGTAGTCCACCCTCAAGTTCAGATGGTGCCATTTCCTTTTCCTTACCCTTGTCCCCCTGGTGCCTCCCTCAGACCAGTTGATGTCCCTTCTCTCATTTTCTACTTTTCTTCCTCTTCCCTTTCCCTCTCCATCTCCTTCGTAATGTCTACCTCCCCCTCAAACTTTCATACACACACACACACACAC